ATCTATTTAACAATATGTCTTCCTTTTGGTAAAAGATTTATACAGTGTCTGTTCGTATTATCTTACAAAGTTGAATAGTTGAATATTCTTTTTTTTTTTTTTGGTGGGGGTACTGGGGATTGAAACCAGGAGCACTTGACCATTGAGCCATATCCCTAGCCCTATTTTGTATTTTATTTAGAGACAGGGTCTCACTGAGTTGCTTAGCACCTCACTTTTGCTGAGGCTGGCTTTGAACTCGCTATCCTCCTGTTTCAGTCTCCCAAGCAGCTGGGATTATAGGTGTGTGCCCCTGTGCCCGGTGAATATTCTTAATTTTTTTTCATAACATTGAACTGTTGACTTCAGTATATGCATCTGTACTTATTATAGGTACATATGCATAGTTTTCCTATGAGACATATACTAATAATCAGATATTTAGTAAAGATTGCTTTCTGGCTACTAGTGTTGTAAGATTATGGATAGGATACATACTAAGAAGTATTAACACAACTTTGAATTTCTTCATTCAAACTTGGTATGTGTCATGGAAGTTGACAGTGAGCAAGTAGCTAGGTCATTCTGCAGGGTTTGAGGTTTCAGAATGGTACCCTGATATTTACCCAAAACTCCCACAAACCAACAGCAAAGAAGTACTTGTTATCGTCACTCTCTCTTACAAATTCTTGGGTGTAAATGTTCTGAAAATCAACAATGCATTTTAGGTAGTAGGTGAGAGACATAATTAAGACTATCTCACATTGCATTCAAATACTGCTCTGAGAGAAAATAGGTTAAACATAGGCAGCAGTTCCTTGCTTCTTTCACACTGCTGGAGGTGGAACCCAGGGCATTTTCTTTTTTAGATGCCAAAACCTGGGAACTAGCAAACCCTTCCTTTGTTAGAACACCTTCCCTCTCTCACCAAACATACATACACTTATATGTATGTATGGCCCCAGGGTAGAGTGGGGTTGGTGGGCTTTCATGCAAATCCAGATTAAAGGGCCTGGGGCTGTAGCTCAGAGGCAGAGCACTTGCCTGGCACATGTGAGGCATTGGGTTTGAGGCTTATCACCACATAAAAATAAACAAATAAAATAAAGGCATGCTGTCCTTCTATAACTACAAAAAATTAAAATAAATAGGTAAATACAGATTATAATATACTTCTATCATCTCTATACTGGAGCCATAAGATTCCATTTGAAGGATGGAATAATGTTGATGTTCTTTTATGCTAGCTAAAATAGTACATTACTTGGTATACCAACTCTAGTAGCTCCCATGCAAACTATAAGAATCTTATGGGAATCATTAATTCTTCCCTTAGGATAAAATAACCTAGAAAAGTCTAATTACAAGATTGTCAATTACATAAAATGGAACCCAAGATTTTTGGTAATGTTAGAAAATATTGATGTGAAAATGGTGCAACCATTATGTAAAGCAGTATGGAGATTCCTCAGAAAACTTGGAATGGGACCACCATTTGACTCACCTATCCCACTCCTCGGTTTATAGTCACAGGACTTAAAATCAGCATACTACAGTGATGCAGCTACATCAATGTTTATAGCAGCTCAATTCACAATAGCCAAACTACTGAACCAAACTAGATGCTCTTCAACAGAAAAATGGAAAAACAAAATATGGTATACACAATGGAATATTATTCAGCCTTAAAGAAGAATGAAATTATGCATTTCCAGGTAAATGGGTTGAGCTGGAGAATATCATGCTAAGCAAATAAGCCAATCCCAAAAAACCAAAGGCTGAATATTTTTTCTGATATATGGATGCTAATTTAAAATAAGTGGGGTAGGGAAGAATAGAGATACTTTGGATTTGGCAGAACGGACTGAAGGGAGGGGAGGGAGTATGGGGATAAGAAGGTTAGAAGAATGAATTGGACATTATTACCCTATGTGCATATATGACTATGCGACTGGTATAATTCCACATCATACGACCAGAAGAATGAGAAATTATACTCCATTTATGGATGATATGTCAAAATGTATTCTACTGTCATGTATAACTAATTAGAACAAATAAATAAATTCCATATACAGTCTATTACAAAAAGAAACTTTAAGCCATTTTTTAAAACGAAGGGGGTGTGTTCAATCTTAAAATGAAACCATTAAATGTCTACCCAACTAGCTGGCAAATAAAAAACGCTACACCAGAGGAACAACCTTAAAAAGGAATGAAGAGAGAAAGGGAGGGAGAGAAAAGGAAGAAGGGGGGAAAAGGAAGAATGGAAGGAAGGTGGAAGAAATGAAAGAAGAGGAAAGGAAAAAAAAAAAAAAAAAACAATTTATGTGAATCCCACAGGGAGAAGCAGCTCAGGAGCAAACTAGAAATTGGGTGACAAAAATTAGAGCATCTATAAGTGAACCAGTGATAAAGATGAAAATGAAATAATAGATATACCAAATGACTTTTATAAAATAATGAGCCATTCGTATAACTAATATGCCATTTGAGGTAGGCAGATGGGTCAGACTCCATTTCCAAGACACATATTGAAAGGAGTCAAAAGCATAATTTGGAACAGAGTGAGATAATTACCAGACCTGGTAAAACTAGTTGGCAAAGATGGTTTTGTTTTGTTTGTATCACTTTTCCTCTAGTGCTCCACTACCTATTCCCTGCTCTTCTGAATACTCAAGAAGTTCGTGCTCTAACCCTTTGCAAATTGGCTATCTGTGAAATAATACGCCTATGGCAATGTGGCGATGAGGAGGCTATGTTGGGCCAAGTTTTCATTTTAAGGTCTATTTCTAACTGTAGAAACAATGTCTGTTTCCTGTTAAAGGAATTTCAGGTATTAGTCCAACAGATGGGAGGGATGTTTGGACCAGGAAGCCTTCCTGGCACCCCTGGAATCAGAGGTGACTTCACATCATGCCCTGACCAGACTTAACTTCTGAAGGAAATCAAAGGAAACAATTATTGTACCTCTAATGAAAACCTGGAACCTGTTATTCTGGGTGATCACTGTGTGAATTGCCGGTGTGACTCTGCAGGCAAAAGGGCCTTGGGATCTATAAACTGATGAGTGTCTGGTTCTCTAGTAGGCAAACTGGAAGAATCTTTAATAAATGCTAGCCTCTTGGACACAAAAGCCACCAATCTACTGGGATGCGGGTGGCAAAAGGGTTTCTGTAAAGGGAAATCATGTATAATCTTTTTCCGGATCTTTTCTTTGGGGCTAAATTTACTTTTAAAATGCTTCTAATTAAGTTTGATACTAAGACTATTTTTAAACATGAATTACCATGGGATTTAAATTTTTTAATCATGTAGTAGAGAATGGTGTATCTAAAAAAAACTATAGGAAAGAAACAGACTTTTTTTGACTGAAGGAGGAGAACTAGTAGACTTGGGGGGTGGGTACTGGGAAATCCTCAAGTATGCAGATAACATTCAGCTTTTGCTGGCAGTGAAATGCCAAGCTGATGGGGGAGAAAGGAAGATCTCAGGAGGCTTTATGATTGGCAGATGAGCTTGAATAGGGGCACATGTAAGGTGATATATTTAGGGAGGGCTGATATTACAAATTATACTTGCAGGATGATGGGTGGTGACCTTTCAATTAAGACCCAGGAAAGAGCTCTAGGAAACCCTGTGGACAGTGCACTACAGAGAACAATGTAGCTTCCAGCTATGCCAAAGGTGGGGGGGGGGCAACAAGATGTTGGGCACTGTTAATAAGGGGATTAAAAGACAAACAAAATAATTCTCCTTTTACACAGAACCACAGGACATCTTCTTTGGTCAAGTTACATAAGCAGCTCTGATCTGTACATCTCAAGGACAGGACAGAGCCTAAGGGGAACAAAGAAGGGCAATTAAACCATCAATGGCAGGCTCAAAACAAAACAAGTCCAAAAAAAGTTGTTTTTCTTTTTTTTTTTTTTTTTTTTTTCAGTCTGATAATACAGAGGTAGCCAGGGGACATGATCAAAATCATGAAGAAGCTAGTGCTGCTGAATGACTGAGTGATGCGTTGGCTGGCCAAATCTCTGGAGCAAAGAGGTACTTTTGAAGCATAAAGTTTTTATTTTTTAATAGTTCTACTTTGTTTATACAATTGCCAGTGATGACGGCCAATGCAGGCCGGCTCCTTTGGGAAGTCCCTGTTTTCCACCAGAGGTTGGGAGAAATGTGAGCTGAGGGGGTGGGGGGATCAAGAGTACCTCAATCCCCACTGCTTACCTTCAGAATTGTTGACTGGCTCACTTCCAGCCAGACTCACTCTCTCTGTTGCCATTGTCAGCAGTGAATTTGTGCCTGACCAATCTCAATTTTTATGAATACGAGTTTAGTTTCTCCCTTTTTCCTTTCCATAGGACTTGTCAACTCCAGAGGTCTACACACTAAACTGTCCACCGATAACTATCTGTAATTTAATCCTTAACTATAAGGGAAAAGAACAGAGTTCTGAGCTGGGGGGAATAGCTCAGTGAGAGAGCATATGGTTAGCATGCACAAAGCTCTGTGTTTGATACCCGGCACTACAAATACACACACAAATTTCTTATACTAATTTTAACAGATAGAACTCAAGAATGCACAATGAAGAATTATAGAGGGGATTATAGAATTGTAGAGAGAAGAAGCAGAGGTTTCCATAAGAGAAAATAGAGATGTACACTGCCGAGCTAATGAAATCACACACACACAGGTTTCTTTAGCTGAGGAAGTAGTAGAAAAAGGATTCCCAGGGACAGCTTACAAGTTTTTCTTTTTCTTAATCATACCAGGAAGCAGGTAATATCAAAGCTGGAGGAAGGCTCTGATCCAATCACTTGGCCATCCCTAACAGGAGATGGCTACCCGATTAAATAAGCATAAGAAACAGTGTCTAAAAGCTATGTGGACATACAATGTTTTTCTCTTTCAAACTGTTGCTTGAAAAAAAAAAAAAAGAATTGTGCCAGATGAGGGACCATTTCATTCTATAGAAATGCAATCCTCTTGCTCCTGGCTCGATGGTTCTGTAATACCTCTCACAGATGTGGTAGTACTTCTCATCCTGTATGCCATCCTGAAGGGGCACATTTACACTATAGTACCGTCCTTTCCCTAGGCCGACATCAGATACATCACCTGTTCCTGTAACAGAGAAGAACACTGTGTTCAGTTATTAGGAACATGTGAACTAGAAAACTTGAAGGATTGTCTGACAAGAATTTAGAAGGCCAAAACAGTCAGTTAGCAGAACAATTCTGAATTAGTAATCATTTTCTAAGGGAATGAAATTATGAAAAATAATATACAGTAGGAACAAGGATAAATAATGTTGGGGAAGCCAGGAAACTGAAAAACCTTCATTTTCATCGTACTGGATGAAATAAAAATTAAGATATTAACTCCTTTGCTTGACTCTTTGTGCTTTTGAGGTTGACATAATATCACTGTGTCACTGCAATTATCAGGATGTTAGGAATTACTTGTGGTATCTGATAGTACAGGAAGTTTAACTGATCTGCCTATTAACAGTCCATAAAAATCATCTGGAAGAAGAAACCGTGTTATTGTCATTCCTCTTATCATTGTCATTCCTCTTATCATTGTCACCTGAAATGACCTGTGTTGAAATTTTGTGTAGAATAGCCTCCATAACATAGTAACAGGATGGAGCTATACAAATATAAGATATAGGGATGTACAGAACAATTGCAGTATCTATTCATCAAAAGTACAGGGAGCACATAAGTCACTTGCCTGGGAAAAATCCTGGGGAGAATTTGTGCAGGGACACAGTCATGACTTTGGAGGTGAAACTGAAGGCATCTTCTACACCTACCAGAGAAAGAAATGTCAGAAGAATCACTTCATATATAGAACTTCTGTTTCTAATACCTAAAAATCTAGAAAGCAGTTGTGGGAAGAAGGGGAGAAAGGAAGGTGGCAATAATAAAACTAACAAGCCAAGGAATAAAAGTGACAAACCCCTGGTCTCTGATCTTTGTAATTACAGATGAGGTAGAACTTTGGCCTCAAGTGAAGATTGGGGGTACCCTTTCAAATTAATGGCAAACTATAACTGGACTTCTCCTTTCAAAGCAACAGGATGCCTGGGCTTTCTCTGACATGTGTTCTAAAATGTGGGAAAGGGAATGAGCCCAGAATTAAGACACTATCAACAGAATTGAACAGAGGACACTGGCATCAACTTTGAAGTTTTATGTTCTATTTTCTTTTCAAAGAAGTATTATGTGATAATCCCTTAAAAAAATACAACCAATACAAACATTAGGCATTACATGGTGAAAGCCTAATTATAAAGTACCTCTTTATAATGCATATTTGGTTATATATGCAGGTTTCTCAAAATCCTGTGTGTACTAACTAACTTATAGTACATCCTTCTGGCTAAAACTTGGAAAGCTGAAAATAGTCATGGTCTTGTTCCTTAATAGCAGCTTTATAACAGAATTTTAAAGCCTAGAGAAACATGGGGGAGAGACTTTTCTAGAAAGGGGTCTCCTTTCCATTTAAACAGGGTCAGAAAATGATTGGATGCCTGGGAGTTAAAAGCTGGGATTTAAAGTAATTCTCAGAAGCCACTTCTTGTCCAATAACCATGCTACCCATTTCTACACTTTTCCTCTCAGAATCATATACTGTCATACTATGGTTCATATAATCAGTCTGTAAAGTGCAAGGATTATTAGCAAATTTGGGTACTATCCTCCTTTATATTTCAAACAAAGATATTGTCTCAGTGTTTACTTAATGTATTCAGTCTTCATTAGAAGCCAACAGAGACCTTAAAAAAATATTAACTCTATTTGTACATAACAGGTATGTTTGAATTTCCCAAGCTTATGTTTTGCCCTAGGGAGGCAGTTAAAATCAGTTAAGGGCTCCAGGCAGAAAGTATGAAGTAAACAAAATAAAACAAGATAAATGAAAATAGCATTTCAATTTAGAAACAAGGATAGTTCATGAAAATTCTGATTATTCATCCATCCAGAGATATATCAGCTTACTTTTCTCCTGACCATGTATATGAGTTCCTGTTTTCTCCCATGTTGACTAGCACATGACTGGCTATTATTATTCTTTTCAATCCTAGGCAGAAAGAATGGTCTTGTTCTAATTTGCATTTCTCTGAGTATTAGGGCATTGAGCACCTTTTCACATGTTTAGTAGCCATTTGTATTTCTTCTTGTAGGAAATACCATTAGGCATGGTTATAAAATCATACTTAATTTTAAAAGGACGTAATCAGATAGGTGTAGGATATGGAGTTGGTGTGAAAGAGGAGAGTGTTTAGGCAGATGAAAGGAGGTGAAGACGGGGTAGGAGTGGTTAGTGAAGCCACCACAGGATGTTAGTTATGGAATCATGGGAGATTTAAAATAAACCAAATGTGTAAGAGTTTGGGGGTGGGGCAGGGGTCACTGGAAGGGAGGTGCTGAAGAGGGGAAATAAACTGAAATGAAACACACCATAAAAGTTGGCTAAAACAGGAAACTCTAAATGGTGTAGAAATAACATTGCAAATGGAAAGAACGGTTTCAGGTGACAGTCTTATTTCATTCTTATATGGTTCAATACAGTTGGTTCTAGTCTCGAACTCTGCTACTAATACTTTGCATTTCATAATCATTCATTCATACAACAAGTATTTTACTAAACCACTACTATATACAGATACTATTGGTTCAAGGCATTATACAAGACAGAGAGAAATAAATAATTTGATCTGTGTTGTGAAGGTACTTAAAGTTTTTATGAAGAAACAAGACACAGACATGTTAAAAAATTACCTAATAATATGAGACAACATGTAAGTACATAGCAAATCAGTGCTATAAACAGTACAGGACTTGAGAGGTGGAAGACAACCCTTGGGGTAGGGTGATCAGGGAAAATCTGCTACTGTTGAACCTTGAGCAAATGGATAGAACTTGGAGATGCAAAAAGGGAGGAGAAAGCAAAATTAAGTTAGGAAAAAAAGGGAGGCAAAGTCAGAGAAGTAGGAATAGTGAGACATGTCATGAATATTGAGACACACTCACTGAGTAAGAGTAACCTGGACAGAAAGTAGGGAGAGATAAGACTGGAAAGATGAGGTGAGGCTTGTTTGAGGTGAGCCTTGAAAGATAGGGAAAAGACTCGACTTTACTTCGAAGACTACTGTTTTTTAAAGTGTGGCCTGCACAACAACTGTAGTGCTGTTAAATTGTACATTCTTTGGATTTATATCTGACCTACTTAACCTGAATATCTAGTGAATGTGGCCCAGCAATCTTCATGATAAAACAACCTCCCATCCAGATGCACAGGTAAGGTTGAGAAACATTGTTCTAGGCCAGGGGTCAGAAAACTAAGTGAATAGTAGATAGTAAACACTGTAGGCTTTTCAAACTAATTACAATCTCTGCTAGGCACACACTTATGCATATATATGCACACATACAAATTTTATGTTTTTACAACCTCTAAAAATGGAAAAAAAATTCTTACTCTCTGACTTTACAAAAAGTAAGCCATGGGTCAAATGCTGCCCCTTATTATAAGGAATAAGGAGACTCTAAAGGTTTTTGAGCAAGGCTGTGTTTTGCAATGGCCAAGTATTCAGAAATTCAGTGACTGTAGTTCTCAAGGTAGTATGTTGGTTTTTCCAACCTCTCTCTCATCTGTTATATTTACTTTGTGTGTGTGTTTGTGTGTGTGTGTGTGTGTGTGTGTGTGTGTGTGTGTGGCACTGGGTATTGAACCACAGAGCTACATTCCCAGCCCTATTTTATTTTTAATTTTGAGACAGGGCCTCGCTAAGTTGCAGAGGCTAGCCTCCAACTTGTGATCTTCCTGCCTTAGCTTCTTAAATTGCTGGGATTACAGATGTGCACCACCATGCATGGCTCTATTACATTTACCTTTATGTCACTGGTCCATGTTTCTAGCATCTGTGCAGGAAACACTCCCTGGGGAGCTCCCCACACCACCACATTTCTTCATTCTTCTTTCTGTTTTGACAGAAAAGCTAACCCTAACCTTAGACACATACTTATGCATGATTATGTGAGTATGTCTTGTCTAAAAAATTCCCAGGAAATTAGGAAGTAGCAGTCACTAATGTCAGGGACAGGGGATATACTTAATCAATCATTTAATGGATAAGTGTTCTTAGGTGAATGGAAATACTGTGTTACAGACAGGACAACTGTCACTGTAGGTCTATGTTCTAGATAGAAAATACATAGGAGGGTTGGATAAGTCTTTTCAGTAGAGTCTTCTAAGAGGGGATTAATAGGTGAGCTCAAAGTGTTAAGAGATTCTGCTATCACAAGTTAAGGAAGATGATCTGAGTTTGTGCAGGACTTCATATTTTAGCAACATAAAGAAAGTGGCAGCCGGGTGTGGTAGCTCATGCCTATAATCCCTACAGCTGGGAAGGCTGAGGCAGTCAGATCACAAGTTCAAAGCCAGCCTCAGCAATTTAGCAAGGCTCTAGCAACTCAGCAAGACCCTGTCTCTAAATAAAATACCAAAAGGGCTGGGGATGTGGCTCAGTGGTTAAGCACCCCTGGGTTCAATCCCTGGTACCTCCCCCCCCCCAAAAAAAAAGAGATTTTGGTCACTACAGAAGTTGGTAGTTTATTGGCGAAAAACTTAGACTGTCTGTCCTTCATATACCTATTTTATCCTGAGAGAAGTACCATTGAGAAGAGACAAGACTGTCAGCTCTAATCACAAATTTGCCTTAGAACTGATGGAAATGGCCTGAGGGAGGTTACTGTGCACTGGAGTAAACACTAGTTAAGAGTTCCACTTCTTCCCATTCTCCATTATAAAGCTCTGCTACAGGAGGAGAGGGGAGAGGAAATGACAGGAGGCTGGTTAGGCAGCAAAGGAGGGATTGGCGTGGGTTAGAGGAATCCACACTACTTACTTTAGAATTCTCAATTAGGAAAATTTCAATTGCAATAACCATTCCTCCTCTTACCAGTTGCCTAGAAGTAGCTTTACTGATCAAAACCTGCTGTCGTAGCAGCAAAGCATCTTTGAAACTGAAGGGCTTACCATCTCCATGGTGCAGATCCAAATCCACATAGAGAATACGGTCAAATTTCCGTCGCAATCGTAATATTCCCAGGACAGCATCATTGAGATAACAAAAACCAGATGCTTCATCTCTGCAAGAAAACAAGTTGCTAGAGCCAACAGCCAAAAAGCAATCCAAGGGAGTCTTTACAGCCAAGGATCTAACCCTTGAGATCTAGTCCCTTAAAATTCCCCCTTCTTTGAAGAAAAACAAAAATCCAGCCACAAAGATTATATAGTAAGTGGCCTAGAATGATTAGAGAATGAAGTGTTTTGGTAAATACTCAGGTTGACTGATAACATTTTCCATTCAAGATCCCAGATTTTCAAAGCATTAGAATATAATAACTATATTGAACAAAATAAAACCTTTCTCTGATGATTTAGGAATCATGTCAAAAAATATGTAGTACCCCAGGCTCATTATGATGAACACTGATTTTCATTTCTAGAACTGTAAGAAAGCTAGACTCTAGAAGCAGCCTTAAAGACAATCCTGTAGGGGCTGGTGTTGTGGCTTAGTGGTAGAGTACTTGCCTGGCATGCATGAGGCTCTGGGTTCGATCCTCAGCACTACATAAAGTAAAATGAAGACATTATGTCCACTTATAACTAAAAAATAAATATTAAAAAAGACAATCCAGTAGAAGATGATGGAGATTAGATTTTCTGTACTGGCCCTATAACCTGGGAGTTATTTTTTAAAATTAAAAAAAAAAAGTCTTGGCACTTGTTGCTCATAAAAGCTGAGTGTAGAATGTACAAATGCATAACCTCTTGGGTAGCATAACACGGTTGCCTTTCTGTAAATGTAATTATTACAATGAAAAACAAAGCAGCCTTTTCTAAAGTTTATTTTGTTTTCTTCACAAAAATTGTCCTCATTGACTTTACTAGTGTCCTTTAACTTTTTTGCTATTGTGTCACTTTATCCTCTTGTCGACATAAACGTGTTCTTTTATTACACATTTATGTGAAATAACGTGTTCTTTTATTCCACTAAGCTTGGCTGATTAGATGTAGAAGAACATTATCTTTCATCAGAATGCATTATAATTTATTTTAAGGCCTCATCCAAAATGTTTCCATTTCTTTTGCTTCCACGAACACTACAAATATTTAGCCCATTTTTGTCTAAGCTCACCCTGAAGTTTTATTCAAAGCAGAATTCTGAGAGGAATAACAGTTAAAATGCATCTTTGCTTCTATGAGAAATCTTTCTAGTGCCTACACAATTCATACACTTCTTCATGAAATCTCTTTTTTAATTGCATTTCATATTCTAAACAATGCCCTGGTTCACAGGCTGAGTCAATAAGACAGTTCGATGGAGAGCAGGAAGTTGGTAAAAATATTGCTTGACACTGACTATGCTTCCTTGAGGTGAACTCAACAAGCAGCTTGACAAGGAACAGCTTGGTCTTAGGTATGCAACCAGAAAAAGAAAAAAAAAAAAAAAGCAAAGAAAAGAATTTGTCCATCCATGAATTCTCTGTAAATAAGAATTAAATATGTGACTTTGAAAGTTCTTAGATGTCAGTGCTATTTTCCAGTTATGGAAAGTTTACATTTTATAAATCTATTGTCTCAGTACACCAAGACATATAATGGATTCTTCTATTAAACATCAATAACTTTGGGTAGATGGGACAGAACCCTGAATGGAAGGTCAAAAGAGGAGGGAGAAGGAGGAATACAAATCAGTATAGGTAATAATTGCTTCCCTCAGAGAACATACAATGAAGTTAGGGAGAATGTCATAAGTACAGAAAAAAACAAAACCAAAAACCTAACCATCCAAACAAAAAAGGCAACCGGAAATAATATAGCATATAAAGGAGAATATAGAGAACTTCTGTAGACAAACTTGGCAAAGTACACTCATGTCATTGTCAATATCGGGCTGTATTTAAGTCCCATGGTTCTAGAAAGCAGTGATGGCCAAGAAGCTCCCCACCTCTCTGTGTTCTGAGGGCTGATAATGGAGAACTGACCAGTTTGCTCTGGCATATTCCAAAGTAAGACCCATCCTTTCTTATGACTCCCATAAGACTCATGGATAACTACCTTGTTTACCCTTTTCTAAAAATCTCCTGGGCCTCTTCCTTTAAGATGTTCCTAATTAATGAACATTATTCCATGACAATAGCCTGAATAATGATGATGATGTCTGTAATTCAGAAAGTCTTTTAAGTTTTTTTGTGTGAATGTGTAATATTTTCCTACCTCTGGATGATATTACCAAATTAGATTAGAAAATCTCATAAAGGAGCTCTATTCTCATTGGCTTATAGAAACGAATAAGCATTTAGAACCAAGCTTGGGCATGCCTATAATCCAGTGACTTGGGAGGCTGAGGCAGGAGGATCGTAAATTGGAGCCAGCCTCAGCAATTTAGCAAGGCCCTAAGCAATTTAGCAAGACCCTGTTACAAAATAAAAAAGTGCTGGGAATATAGCTCAGTGCCCCTGGGATCAATCCCCACTATGAGAAAGAGAGAGAGAGAGAGAGAGAGAGAGAGAGAGAGCGAGCGCCAGGTGCACACCTGTAATCCTAGTGGCTAGGGAGGCTGAGGCAGGAGGATGGCAAGTTCAAAGCCAGCCTCAGCAAAAGCGAGGTGCTTAGCAACTCAGTGAGACCCTGTCTCTAATAAAATACAAAATAGGGCTGGGGATGTGGCTCACTGGTCAAGTGCCCCTGAGTTCAATCCCTGGTACCACACCCCCCCAAAAAAAAGAAAGAAAAGCATTTAGATAAAAGGAATATTGCTTAAATTCCCACAAAATAAAGAAATTGAACCTTTAAGACTTTCAAACTGCTAAAAAGAATATTCCTATAAAAACAATCTCAAATGTTTTAACAATTCAGGTTCACATAATTTAGATCAATTTTTGGCAAATAGGGCTGATTTAGTAATTTTAGTTTACTAAAACTAGCTATGTCTTTTTCTGACTTATCAGTGTTAGGTAAAATGTGCAGGTAGATTTTTGTTCTACTTAGGTATATTCTTCCTAAACACAAACAGGCTTATCGATTGAATGAACTAATGTTACTTCTATTAAATGTTCAAGTTTATGAATAAAATAAATTTGTTTAACCAAGTTGAGTCATTCTGATAATGAACTTTATTGCAATAGTAATTATGTTTTGTAGTTGATCAGCTTGAAAATAATTTACAAGATCTTTATGTAATTGAAAACTTTGAACTGATATTAAATTAAATTCATTAATGGAGAGTCATTAGACACCTAGACCATTTCTAAGTAAAATAATGCTGAAGGCTGCAGTTGTAGCTCAGTGGTAGAGCACTTGCCTAGAACGTGTGAGGCACTGGGTTCGATCCTCAGCACCAAGTAAAAATAAATAAATAAAATAAAGGTATTGTGTCCAACTACAACTAAAAAAAAGTTTTAAAAAAATGCTAAAACATTACTACACATAATTTTAGGTTTATATGCATTTACTTCTTATTTTTACAAGGTACAGGGAGGCTATATATATTTGACTGTACTTTTTGTCACTTAGAAAAATTGTACTATAGGGCTGGTGTTGTGGCTCAGTGATAAAGCAGTTGCCTAGCATGTGTGAGGCACTGGGTTCAGTTCTCAGCACCACATAAAAATTGATAAATAAATAAAGGTCCATCAACAACTAAAAATTTTTTTAAAAGTTGTACTACAAAGGATGTATATGGATACCAAAAATTGCAGAGGATTCACAGAAACAGAATTTTATTTGTTCAGTTCAAAGCTGGCTATGGTTTGATAAGTTTATTTATAAGATTTTCAAAAACAACTTCATGGCTTGTGTTGTGGCTCAGTGGTAGAGCGCTTGCCAAGCATACATGAGGCACTGGGTTTAATCCTCAGCACCATATAAAATAAATAAATAAAATAAAGTACTGTGTCTATCTACAGCTAAAAAAATTTTTTTAAAAAAAGAATTTCAGTGGTTACTTTGGTAGCACTTATACCAAAAAGAACTCCAATATCAAATATACTGATGAAAAACTAGAGTTTTGCTCTCTGTTCAAATGGCAAAGGGTTTTCTTTTTGGATTATTTGTCTATTCTTAATGACAGGTTAGAATCGGTTTGCTTTACCTTCCAAATAATCTTCTTAGATAACAAAGATTCTGTGTTTTCCCAAGGTAATCTTTTATGGTTTACTACTTTTCCTCCCCTGCAGTGCTGGGGATGAAACCTGGGCCTCACACATGCTAGGCAAGCATTCTACCACTGAGCTACACTCCCCAGCCCTCTTCTATCATTTATGTTGACTTTGGTATGTCCTTGACTATCTAAGAAAACAAAGTCCTCTCTCTGAGAAAGGAGCTAAGGTTCTTTACAATCATCTTACTTCCTGTGTTTATCTTTAAAATCTTTTATTGTCACTTTGGTAAAACAGTGAGCCAAGTATTGCTTTTCAATAACCCATCATCCTATCTTAAGTCCCAGAGGGCCCATGGAAAAAATCACAAAGGATTTGTTCTTTCACCTTGTAAAAAAAGCTGTGCTAGCAACCATTAGTTTGGTTTGATATGCTACTATTGAGGAGTTGCACGGCAAGAGCTGTCAAATCATATGAGATGCATTGCTTTCCTTAGGTTAACTTGGTAAAATATTACTAATAGAAGTATTTCAGAAATTGTATGTTGTGTGGGAAGTTCCACAGATTCATCCATGTCCTCACTGGCTGCGATATGCTATTTGTCAGAGTCCACCGTGCTGCTTTGTTAAATATTAGACAACTGTGGTATAGTAACCCTCTCTTATCTGTGGGAGATACATTCCAAGACCCCCCAGGAGATGCCTGAAACTGCTGATAGTACCAAATCCGACATATACTTTGCTTTTTCCTATGCATAAATACCTATGATAAAACCTCATTTATACATTAGGCACAATAAGTGATTAACAACAATAATTAATAATAATAGAATAATTATAAAAATATACTGTAATAAAAATGATGTGAATGTGGTCTTGTTCTTTCTCAAAACATGTTAATGTACTGTTACTGGCCTCAGTTGGCCACAGATTACTGAATCTGGGAAATGTAAAACCAAGGATAAGGGGGAATAGTGTTCCCAA